GGTGGTTGGGGCCATGGCTGAGCAGCCGTGGGGCTGAGGGACAGTGTGAGAATCCCCCCAGGAGTGCAGGCGTGCGTGGCAGAGAGTAGCAATCAGCCTTGACCGTGTTCCTCTTGGAATAAAAGCTTTAGGGCACAAACTCATTCATATCAAAGTTTTTATTTTGTTCTCAGGAGGAAGATTACACAGAATCATCCTTACATGACATTGGATATTTTACAGGATGTAGTATCAAAAAAGAAATATATATATATATATATAAAAAATACCTTGCAGTTACATGACATAGCCAAGAGTACTGTTCTTAGCATGTCTGCAAGTTCAACCTCCCTTAGGCCTTCTGCTCCTCTACATGATCATCGGGTATACGGTTGGACTTGATGATCTTCGAGGTCTCTTCCAACCATAATGATTCTATGATTCTATGATTTACAAATGGCTTTTTGGATGCTAGCAAAATGGCAAAAAGTGGCTCATTCACTGTTGACTCTTTCCTTGCATGGCAAAACCAAAGGAGGAGGAGGAGGAGAGGACCAAAGGAGGCTATGGGCACGCAGAGAGGACAGCAGGCAATTTTTGCATGTTGCTTACAGCTGTAGGAGGGCTTTGCTGGCAAGTGAAGGAGATGATGTCCCCACTGAAGGAAGGTAAGCTCACTCAACCTTCTTCCTTGCAGGGGATTTACTTGTCTGCATGGGCCATGGAGGGAGTCTGAGGAGATATGAATAATTCTGGTGTGTCAGGTGAGTTGGAGTCAGTTTAGAATGACTTGGACTCCTGCAATAGGCCAGAAGAGCCATGAACAAACACTGAACACCAGCAGTAACCTGTAAATCGACCAAATCAATGGTCTTAAAAGCAGCTAAAAGGGACTAGGTTCTTGCAAGAATGAATGCATTGCCATGAAGGACTACCGAGGCCCCTAAAGAAGAGGTGAAACCTCAAGGAAGGGCATTTTATCTGAAATGATTCTGCTGAAAGTGTTGCTTATGTAGAGCAGATGTGATGCTGCCTTGTGTGTTGGAAAACTTTCCTTGGGAGGTCTGCTGTGGCTGGAAACCATTCCAAGAGCTGGCCTGGGGGGAGGACAGTAGAGGGCTTGAGGTGATAGAGGGTTGGAGAAGTTTTGGTGGCTGGAGGTGAGGGTGACACTGAGTCCAAACCCTGCTCCCTGTCCTTGTGTTCTCTGTGGGGCACCCGTCCCACTTTGGGTTGGTGATGTCTTGGCAGACATGGCTGGAGTTTAGAGCTAATGTGGATGCATCCTCACATCCCTGGGGCCAGGTGGACATCACCTGAGATGCAGGGATGTTTGTTTGCAAATAAAAACAATAGCAAACCCCCAGGGCTCCCTGACTTGCACAGAAAAAGTGTTCCACAGCGTGGGGCACCTGTGAGTTCCAGGTCTGCCCAGCTGGGTTTCCTGCACTGTTCATAGGCTCTGTAGCTCCTGGAGTTGTGTTGTATGATGGGAAGATCTGGCTGGAGAGCCTCAGGGGTAGGGGCAATTCTCAGTGCATGGCCCAAAGCTTTGGTGGCAGGGAAATGCTGCCTCCATTGTTGTTCCTTTGTCCTGGCTTGGAGG